CCCCTCCCCCCCAAAAAAAAATAAATAAAAGGAAAATTGCTCTCCCCCCATGGCCTAAAATGGCCTTTACTACTTTTCCCCTTAGTGATTCGAACCTCTGACATTATGATTGGAGATGGAGGATCCCTTGCACTAGGCCCACTCGCTAGAACAACTATTTATCTGGTAGCCTCTATTTGTGATTCCAACAAAATCCTCTCTTTCTAGGGTTTGTTGGTGATATGATGATTATGCCTTTTGATTTGTTTATTTCTCATAGGAAGATGAGCATGATATGGAAGTTGATACTGCAACATCTGCATCTCAAGCCCCTGCAAAACATCCTTTGCCAGAGCTTGAGATCTATTGCTACTTGCTTGTTCTGATATTTTTAATCGACCAGAAGAAATACAATGAGGTAGGATAAAAGTTTTGTATTCAATGTCATATTGTCCTTCACCAATGACGTTTTTGCTTTCCTTGATTGACAATGTATTTCTTGTTTACTTTCAGGCTAAGGCATGTTCCTCAGCAAGCATTGCTCGTCTAAAAACTGTTAACAGGAGGACTGTTGATGTACTAGCATCAAGGCTCTACTTTTACTACTCTCTGTGCTATGAACTGACTGGTGATCTTGCTGAAATTAGGGGGTGAGTTCCAATTTAATGGTTCAAGCTTACATATAACTGCTATGCCATGTATATACATAGAAAAACTTTTGATTTTAATTAGTAAATGGGAAAAGTTCTCACAGTTAGATCTTAGGAAGAGAAACTGTAGCCTTAGTACTACCCTTTTGTACCTTTCATTTGGCTTCTCTATTTTTGCTTCTATAATCAAAGTAAACTTGTATTTTTCAACAGTATTCTCCTTGGGTTGCACCGGATTGCAACACTGCGCCATGACGAATTGGGTCAGGTTTGTCATTTATTCAGGATCCCTAGTTGTTTTTTATCCTCTAAATGTGATTGCATCTAACTGATATGACAATTACGGGTGTAGGAAACACTTCTAAATCTATTGCTGCGGAATTACCTTCACTACAACTTGTATGATCAAGCAGAAAAATTGAGGTCAAAGGCCCCCCATTTTGAAGCTCATTCAAATCAGCAGGTAATTCTCAACTTTATTCTCATATCTTTGTGCATATGTGGCTTTCCTTAGACTGATTATTTATTTCTCTCGTGATTGGTAAAATCTGATCTTATTTCCTAAAATGTAGGTTTACTTTCAAGTTTTGGTTGCTAAGTGGAGATTTGATTGGTTGTAGAATTAGCAGTTTTGCTTCTCCCCTCCTTTTCTTGCTTTCATCTTTTTTCCTCCTCACCTGAACATAATGGATTAAGTCATGTGTATACTAAAGCATTTTAACCCCCCAAGCCCAACATCCCTCCATCAAAAGGGAAAAAAAGGATTAATGGATATGATTAAACTTCCCTTATCAAATAATGATTAAAAGCAGATTACATCTCATCATTCCATAAATTTCTGTTGTAATTATTAAATCTATTGACTATTTCCACTTAGCAATCCAGCAAATTTAGTTGTTACTTTACTAAAGATAACTACTGAGTTAAGTAGCAAGATCATGGAGGCACAAACATTTGTAACTAAAGGACATAACACAAAAAAAAGAAATTAAACTCTATTTCACTTTGTAGCATAAAATGAAATGAAAATACACAATAGAAGAATTGTATTTTGAAACTACTAGCTTCAGGAATTTATGGCTTGGTTTGTAAAAACTGCCTTGGTCTCTCTGCTGCAGTCCACTGCCAATTTACACAAGTTATTTCTTTTCTTCAATCTGGTTCATTTTGATTGAGTAAGGTAAGGAGTGAGCTTTTAGCAAGTCATTGTTCAAAGTAAAAAAATACTTAAAGATATGCACAAGCATTTATGCCATAGTTTCGTTGCTTAAAAACAATTTTGGAGTGAGATATTAAAATAGAATTTAAACATGTAGACATATTTTCTTGAGAAAGGTAACAGTATATTAAAACATCAGCACAAAGGAAGTGCTGGAACCCATATTTACAGATATTCTTTTGAGAAGGATATTTAGAGATTACAAAACGCTAAAGTATCACCTGCTCATCTCACAGGGATTCTATGACATCTATGAATGATTCTGCTTCATCTACACATTTTTCTTTACACCAAATATGAAATAAAAAAATGCAGTTCATCTTAATCTTCTGTATTGAGCTACTTCTATCTTCAAACCGTCTTGCATTCCTTTCTTTCCATAATGTCCACAAATTTCTGTTGTAATTATTAAGTATTGACGATTTCCACTTAGCAATTCAGTAAAATTAGTTGTTAGTACCAGTAACTACTAAGCTAAGTAGCATGAGGAGGCACAAAAAATTGAAAATTTAAGAGGACATAACATGTATTTCACTTTGTAGCATATAAGATGAAATAGAACACATAATAAAAAATTGTATTTTATGGCTTAGTTTTTAAACTGCCTTGGTCTCTCTGCAGAACTCCGCTAACAATTTATGCTCATTATTTCTTATTTATCTTCAATCTGGTTCATTTTGATGGAGTAAGAAGTGAGCTTGTAGTAAGCCATTATTTCAAGTAAAAAAATACTTAAAGATATGCACAAGCGTCTATGCCACAGTTTCGTTGCTTAAACCAATTTTAGAGTGAGAAATTAAAATATAATTTAAACATGTAGAGGACACCGCAATTTCTAATTACTAATTTGTTTTGGACTAGCAAGGACATGGGCTTGGAGACAAACTATGAATTCATACTAACTTTGGTTTTAGGTTCAGAATAACAGCAACTAAATTGGTTTTGTTTGTCCATCAGTATGAAATTACATATATCTCACAAGGCGCTGGTGATATTTCAGATTTTATATTGATATCATGGCAAACATCAATATTTATGTTTGAACTTAACGAGCGGGAAGTGGTCAGACTTGATTTTAGTAGTTTTTATTGTTTGAATCGCATCCTCTATTCAAAATTTTATTTGTTCATATTTGCTCAAAGATTTTTGTACAATGTTTGTTGTTGCACTTGATCCTCATTCACCATCTTCCCTTCCTTTTCTTTTATCCTTCAGTTCTGCCGATACCTCTTCTACCATGGAAAGATCAGGACAATCCAGTTGGAGTATACAGATGCCAAAGAATCTCTTCTTCAAGCTGCTCGTAAAGCTCCTCTAGCCGCTCTTGGTTTCCGAGTTCAATGCAATAAGTGGGCTATTATAGTCCGCTTATTGCTTGGGGAGATTCCGGAGAGGACTGTTTTTATGCAGAAAGGCATGGAGAAAGCATTAGGGCCATATTTTGAGCTGACAAATGTGCGTATCACTAACCAGGCTCAAACGTTTTGTACTAAGGCATATTTTAAGCTTACAACCATCGAAGTTGAGACTTTCTTGTTTAATTCATATTATGGTCCAAAAACTATGTTTAATATTTCTTCAAAAAATGTGAAATACTTTATTTGCAGTGTATTCCTTTTATCCTATATGCATTAGCGAGTAAGTGTTCCAAGTGCCACAACTGATAAGACAGGCATTTATCAAACGATTACTATAGGGAAAACATGCTTTATAGTAGTATGTTTTGATGCTTTTCTATAAAGCATAAGTTAAATTCTAATTTAAAGAGTATGTTCATTAGAGTTTCATTTACTTGTCAAGGAATACATGAAGATATGTTTGTGAATTGTACTTGCAGTCATTTGTCACAACTCACAAGTTAGCTGCTTAGCTATAGGTGCTTGATCTACCTGCTCTGTTCTCAATTTGGATCTATTTAAAAGAAATGGAGTTAATGATGATGAGGGCATGTCTTTGATAAAGAGATTCATGAACTTTTTTGAAGTGTTTGTGTTTCATATATCATAAGGATAGAGGCTAGTGTTTTGAAGTGCCATTGGTAGAAGCACCTGTCCCTCCCCTGGCCATTTTATTCTTGATCCCCTATCAAGTTCTTAGATCTGTATATGATCTTTGTTGGATTTTCAGGCTGTTCGCGTTGGAGATTTGGAGTTATTTAGAAAGGTTGCGGACAAGTTTTCAAGCACTTTCAGTTCAGATGGGACTAACAATTTGATTGTCAGACTCCGGCATAATGTCATTCGGACTGGGCTCCGCAACATCAGTATCTCATACTCTAGGATCTCATTGGCTGATGTGGCAAAGAAGCTGAGATTGGATTCTCCAAATCCTGTTGCTGATGCTGAGAGTATCGTGTCAAAAGCAATTCGAGATGGTGCAATTGATGCCACATTGGATCATGCTAATGGATGGATGGTGTCAAAGGAAACTGGTGACATTTACTCCACAAATGAGCCTCAAATTGCTTTTAACTCAAGAATTGCCTTCTGTCTGAATATGCATAATGAAGCAGTCCGTGCTCTTCGATTTCCTCCGAATTCTCACAAGGGGAAAGAAAGTGCTGAGAAGAGGAGAGAGAGACAACAACAAGAACAAGAACTTGCTAAGCACATAGCTGAAGAGGACGACGATGACTTCTGATGGAACTGATGATCAGCATTGGGGTGCACATGTGGCGGCATGCTTTACTTAAGAATTCCCTTTAAGAGAATATGATCACATATACATTTCATACGCAATTTCCTTTGGTCTTCTGGTTCTTGCAGTCTGACATCAGGTTTTTTGGTTACTGTTGTTTAAATATCTCTTTAAAAGATCTCTTTTATCGTACATCTCTCCTGCTTGTTTGACCCATACATTTTCCATGGGCAAAACCGCAAAAGATTGTTATCCTTACACTCTTATCTTTAGTTTTGGTGGGGGTGAGGATTAGTTGAAATTCTTGTGATGGAAGAGAATTTTCTAATAGATCTTATTTGGATAATGCATCAAATATTCATTTGTCAAGTGTAAATTTGTGTGCCGCTCTGATAGTGCACTTGCTGCAATTTTATTGACCTTTTCTCTGCCTAATCTGTTTTTACCTGCAGAGAAAGGGGTAGTCTTTTTTTTTTTTTCCTTGGACTTGTTCTGATTCCATATCATGTCATCCTATTAGGTGCCAGGGGTTTTCACAAGTAGCATCATGCTCTTCCTTTGGTGCAAAGCCTTATGTTTATACCAAAATAGCATTTTTGGAGGTCCCAAATTTGTTGGAGCTGCAACTTAGTAGTCCCTCTTTAACAATTTTGCAAGAACCATGTACAAGGTATGTTATAAAGTTTAAGGCATTCCTGTGCAATCACATTTTTAAAGATTTAATGGAGGATTAAGTCTGGCAAATGCAACTATTGATGTACCTTTCTCTCCTGCGTCTGCCTTCCCGTTGCTCGATTGCTCTGCCACTGACATCTCCCCACCATGGCCCTCCCAATTGCCCAGTACGAGTAGAACATAAGTCTAGAAGTCCCTCTACCTAAATAAACAGTAAAGTGGGCAAGGAACATTCTGTTTCTTTCTTGTTGGGTTGGTATATTGTTTGGTCATCTTACAAAGTTCTAGTTCTTTACAAAAAAAGATGTAATTCTAGCAATTTCAGGCTTTTGTTCGCCTAGGTGATCAGGAGTTATTACTTTTGTCTCTCACAAGTTTTCCGGTACATCCAGTAAGGAATGTCAAAGGTGGACCGTCCGCGTGCCGTCAATAAACTCGAGATTTTTCTTGAACAAAATATAAAAATCGAAAATTCACATTGTATTTTTATCAATCTGATTTATTTCATACCTTCCATTCAACGAGAAAATGGGTCAAATTTCAATATTCGAATGAATATGAACTACTTTGAGAAAAACACACGGCTAAGCATTTTTTAAAAACTATTTAAGAAAATGATATCATTTCTTGTTTATTCCATAAATAGCATTTTTTTTTAACAATATTAGCATATTGCAAAAATTATGCACACAATTAATGAGTAACTGAATGCACAAATCATGAGATCCATATTTATCTTTTCACATTCTCTTTCCTTTTATTTTCTATTCTAAATTTCAGCAAGCTCGCAAGAGAAAAAAGAAACAACGAAATCATGACTGCCTTTCAGTAACAGGCCTCGCACGAAACAAAAAAATAAAGATAGATCGAGACTAGAGAGAAGAAAACTAAAAGAAAAAGAAGTCTTGGTTCTCAAAAGTTCGAACAAATAGAAGGATGCATGCGAGCACCAAAACGACCCCAATCATTTTTCAATTCCTTTGAAGATTTTGTTCAAGAATTTTGCTTCGATTGTATAAATTTTACTATGTATATTTGATGTGATTGAATTATAATCTTATGTATTATTACTGTTTACCAAAATGTAGTTTTTGAAAATATCTTCTGTATTTTAATTGTGTACCACTCTATATATATATATTTTGTAACAAACAATATCATTTGTACTCGTATTAAAGAGAATTGTTGTCCGATAATTTAATATACTCCAAAAATAAGTTGTATATTTTTTTTAATATGCTCATATAACAACATTATTCATCACGTATTTACTAAATATACGTCAAAGCAAACTATGAAATTTAGTATACGTCGAATATATTTCGTATATATATTCATCTAGTCAATCAATGTATGATTAAAAACTTATGTTCAAATTATTGTAGTATGGATATACCACTTATAACGATGTAGTTAATAGTAATATACTATATATGTATAAATATACATAGTATATAATAGTAATATGTAAATAATAGAGTCTCTCTCTCTCTCTCTCTCTCTATATATATATATATATATATATATATATATACCACAAATATTTATTATTAAAATTAATTATTTATTAGGTTATGAAACAACAATAATATGATAATTGAAGTATAAATAAATGATTGTAGTCTATGTTTGCGTTGTAGAAGAAAGACATATCAAAGGAATGAATGGGGTGTCAATTTTGATAATGCATTATAAATTCTCGGTAAAATAGTTATTGATTTTTATATGATATGTCTTGCCATCATTATACTTAGCCGTTATGGGAGATGCTATGATATTATGGGCGATAATTTAGGAATTGAATTGGTGTAGCTTTAAATGTTTCGGCCAGAAATGTAGATAATTAGCTGCAGTATTTGTTAATTACTTATTGTTGCTAGGATTTTGTACAATTTTCTTAGATGTTATCTAGTTATGTTTATTCCCCCTACTTTTGTACATTCTACTTTGTGCATAGGTACTAAAATTCACCATCAAGCAATTCAGACCACTCTTAGTCATGCCAAATGGCAGCTGAAGCGTACCTTCATTTTTAGCATCTGTCAATTTAAATAGTTGGATATTTGGTTGCTGACTCCAGCTGCTACTTTTATCAAACCAGAAGAAAAAGAGAAAAAAAGAAATTCTAAAAAATCTCTTAAATTGAACAAAAGTTTTGTGTATGATAATTATCTTGAATTGAAAATCGTTAAGCTTACCAGAAAACATCTCTTGCAGTCTACAGTACCTCAAACCAGTAAATCAGTCTTTTCGGACTAATATAGTCTCTTTTCTATTACAATGGGATGAAATTGGGTTTGATAATGTAGAGAAGTCGAATCCTGGCAGTATCAGAGCTTTCTCCTGCAATTGCACATCACAAAGTAATTGTTTATGGTGCCTGTTTGAGAAAGCATCTTGCCAGCTACGAAGACAAATTCGCAAGGATACAAGCCCTTGAGCAAGAATGTAATCTAGCAAAATAACGACTTTCTCTTTAATATCAAGAACAAAAACATACCCAGTATAATCCTACAAATGGGGTCTGAGGAAGGTAGTGTGTACACATACCTTACCCCTACCTAGCGAGATAGAGAGTCTGTTTCTGATAGACCACTGACTTTATTTAATATAAAGGAAAAGAATTTCACATGAAACAGTTTTTCTCTCTTTCTTACTGTTTATGCAAGATTTACATCTCTCTTGATTACTGTCCATGAAAGCAAGCAAATTCTCTACAAAACACCCTTGGAAATTACATGTTTGTGAGCTTAGAGGAGTTTGCAGAAGTATGTTGTTCACCCTTCTGGTATCAGTTCAGGAGGTTGGAGGTGCATTAAAGTATCTTGCACAATGAAAGAACAATAAGCAGTCATCACCCAGCCAAACTCAATCCAAAAGACTTGACAATATTGCTGACCCTTTCAGCAAAAGTATTGGATGCGATCTTCTTGCCAGGAACGTGGAATGGGTTTGAGTCTTTGACACAGCATCAACATATGCAGAATGGAATCTCCTGAAAAACTGTTATTCATTTCCACCAAAAGGACAATGTAAGCTGCCATCCCTATCATGCAATAGGACATGGGGAAAATAATGGGGATACAGTAATATAAGGGGGAAATATATACTTTGCACCCTCCCAAAAAATCACTTACACACCTAAACTTTTTGTGCGTCCCTTTACCTTATTCTTATCCAAAGTTTATCTATTACCCCCTGTCCCCCTTCCCCGAGGGGTGACATAGCAAAGAAGGTGTTCTCACCTTCTAGACGCCCGTGAAAAGAAGATTTATTTTTATTTTTAAAATGAAGTAAATTCCACATGTGTCATTTTTACTTGGATCCTTTCTTTTAATCACAACTAATAACACTTAATGGCCCCTCTTTTTTTTCTTTACTTTAGTTTTAGCCTCTTTTCTTTTTACCCGGAAAACCCCTTGTTTTGTCTTGAAATTGCCAGATAAGAACTCCGAGGCAGTCCACAAATTGTGTCAAGCACACGCGATTCTCCAATTCATCAACAAGTTGAAATGAGCTGTTGATAAAATGCACAATTTACAAGATAAAACGAAAAGTTCGACGAATTTTGATTTGCCAAGGCCATGAATAGTTACTGGAAGAGAGTGCCAGCAGTGAGGGTGCAAAACGTGAAAACTTGGGAATTTTTTCTGCTCTAAAAAGACCCAGAGAAAGTGTCATTTTCATGGTCTTCATGTAAATTTCTCTTATCCTTCACCACCAGCAACAATTTTTTCTTCACTCACTTCTGCGGATTTAACACCTAATCCCTCACTAACAAACAAACACCAGCATCCCTCACACCCACTCTTACCTCACGTCTCTCCTATTTTCTTCAACCAAAAAAAAGAAGACCCACAACTTCCTCCATTCACCGTCCTCTTGCCTTTCATTCACCACCACATAAACACATACCTTCCTCTATTTTAAACCCATTTCTTATTTTATATTCATAAAACAACAAAAGCTTTTAAAAAGGGCCAGGATCAACAGATTTTGGTTAGAAAGATTTTTCCGGAAAGCTCCATATTTTCCGATCAACCTCTACCTCTTTCATTCATCTGAAAGAAAGAGAAGTTTAAGAAAAAAAGAGTTCTATCTAATTTCTTTTTCGACTCTTTCTCTAAAGGGCTTTTGGGAAGGAGGGACCAAGGGTGTGTTAGCAAGTGAGGGTGAGGAGAAGAAGAAGATGATGAATAGAGGTTTTTTTTTTTTTTTTTTAAAAAAAAAA